TCATTCGTTTGTTCTTTTTGGCGTTTTCTGCGCGTGTCTTTCTATTTTCTCGTCTTTACATGCCCCAACCCTCCCCTTCGATCGACTGGCCCACACGAGGAATGTTTTCGAGGACCCTGACGCGGACACTGGTCGCTTCTCCGCGGGACGAGGATCGCTTCTTCGCGGGACGAGGATTGCTTCTCCGCGGGACGAGGATCGCCTCTTCGCGGGACGAGGATCGCTTCTCCGCGAGACGAGGGTCACTTCTCCGCGGGACGAGGATCGCTTCTCCGCGAGACGAGGGTCGCTTCTCCGTGGGACCATGGTCGTTATCTTCGTGGGACGAGGGTCGTTTTGGCGCGGGGCGGGGTGCGGCGGGGGGAGAGACCACTCCCAAGCGCACCGTTTGGCAGCAGCGGAGGTTGAGGTCCTGTCGGCCTTTTTCTGGACTAGCCAGTTTTTTTGTAGCCCGACAAGCCCGCTCCAACGGCTCGCCGAAATGCACCCTGCCCTGCATTCAATAAATAACAAATCATAAACGGCACAGCGGACTCCGACTTCCGACGAACCCCATTTACACGAACGCACGCCCATTTTTACTCGGCACGATTTCGCCTTACGAACCTCGTTTCAACATTTCTTTTCGATTTCGAAGGCTTTCTATGTTAAGCCTTCTAGGGGGGGAGCTCTGTAGCGCCCAAAAAGATAACTTATCTTTCGTGTACAATTTACTTGTTGATCGATTGTACATTACTCCTTCTTGTTTTAATCTTACAACCGGCTCGACACACAACTGCCTTGTAAGTCCCCGCGCTCACGTGTACGCTCTTGCCTCGCTTCATCCGTCCGTTTCTTGTTCTAGCCCATCGAATACAGTCCGCTGTGTCCCACTTCCATTGCCTTCTGATATCCGCGCTTAATTACGCGCATCGTCTCGGACTAGTATTAACTAGTCCTACAAGGCATACGTAGCATGTGCCCGAGCCAACGCAACCTATTCAGTGCCATCTGTTGTTCTAGGGAGCTAGCATGATTATCACTACCTAGTACTCACCTACGCACATCATCGTTGCGGACACGCTGGTGCCATCCGACACGAGCAATGATCCGCAGACAACGATGATCAGAGTTGAAGGTGGTTCAGATCTTTAGACCGAAGGAGCCAAGTCTCGCTACCACAGAGCAGAACGGCCCTCACTGTGGCCTTGTATACACGGCCTTTCAGACGAAGGGAAACTCCCTTCTGTCGCCAAAGATGCCACAGGTTCAAGAAGGCAGTTTTGGCCGTTTTCATGCGTGAACTGAATTCAGTTTCTATGCGCCCATCATTGCTGATGCAGCTGTCAAGATAAGTGAATTGATCAAGCACCTCGAGTTCTTCGTTAGCAAGAGTCAAGGGGTCATAAAGTGGCTGGTGGTCCTACAGAAACACTTTGCACTTTGAAGGTGCAAAGCGCATACCAAATAATCGGACCACTCTAGACAAGGTATTCTGGGTTGATTTTGCCGCCCCAACATCGTGGAAAAGCAAGACGATATGGTCCGTATAATTAAGATCAACTAATCTTTCACCAGGCATCACTTCATCGCCTACATCGTGAGATTCCCCAAAGGAACACTCCATGATAGAATCCACGACGAAAGTGAACAAAAATGGGGAAATCGGACAACCCTGACGAACGTCACTTGTGGTCAGAAAGCTACGCGACAGGCCACCGTAGACCCTGACGCGGCCTGTAGTGTTCGAGTATAGAGCACGAAGGATGTCCACATATTTCGTGGGAAAACCTTTCCGCGCAAGTATTTCAAACAGAATCGATCGATCGACTGAATCGAGTGAACTCTTGAAATTGAGGAACACGGCTATTGTCGGTCTTCGGTATGCGTGGCGCTGCTCTAGCGCCTGCCGCAAAGTGAATATATGGTCTATACAGCCACGCCCTGGGCGGAAACCTGCCTGCTCTTCCCTACTCCGAGATTCCCGTTCCACAATGAGGCGACGAACGAGAATCGAGGCCAGTAATTTTGTCACAACTGGCGTTAGGCTAATACCCCTGTGATTAGAACAGTCTGTGCGACTGCTCTTCTTGTATATTGCCACTATAATCGATTCGCTCCAATCAGCCGGGACACTTCTTTCAAGATACGTTTGAATAGGGAGGTTAGTGTTTTGCAGAGAACCTCACCTCCATCCTTAGCTAGTGCAGGTGTGAGGGAATTCGGGCCAACGGCATGAAAACGATTGAGGGCTGTGATCGCGTTTCCGACCTCGGCCTTCGACGGACGCTCTAAACTAACTGTCCATGGCTCGTCCTGCATTACCTGAGTAAGAAGACCGGGAGCAGGGGGCCAGCTGAACTGATCTTGAAAGTGTTCCGTCCAACAAGCCATACGGCTCTCCTTATTGTGAATCACTGCACCCGCGCTGTCTCTGATTGTCCCAATGACGCCTGGTTTCCTGGGACCAGTGGTGCGAATCAGCTGGAAGAGCTTGCGGTAATTTTCTAATGCTCTTGCCTCCATTTATTGAGTCTTACTGGTCCACTAGGCTTATTGTCAGCACGTAAGCTCCGCATTAGTTCGCACCTAACAGCCCGTCTGGTCACGTGCTCAGAGCCGGCCGAGAAGTTGCTTCTAGATTCCAACAGGTTCACCAACATCTCGGATATGCAGTGATTGGTGCCGTGACGATGGATAGTGCCAGAAGCAGATGCTCCTGTGTCGTGCATGGCGGCCGAGATCCTATTCCACTGAAACTCAGTGTCACTGGAACACGATAGTTCGGTATGCAGTGCGTCTTGATAGGCTTGCCTGACCGAGGCTAAAACAATTTCTCAATTGCCAATCGGAGAGGACGATTGGTGCGCCTCCCGAGAAAGTTCATGGAGGAACGACAACGTACCAAGGCATGATCAGAGTCGACGCAGGTATTCCAGCACGAGGGACAATTCAGGATGGAACCATGTCACCTGTAACTTATGGTAATGTGGTCAATTTGGGTCCATCGCCACCCAGCTACAGGAGGACGCCAAGTAGCACTTCGGCGCCCACTGTGTCTAAAAGCAGTGCTACTAAGAAACAACTGGTGCTCCGCACACAGTTGCAGCAGACGCTCACCGTTGTCAGTCCGTTCGGAGTTAAGTCCACAATTACCACCCAGCTGAGCTTCTGGAGAGCTCATACGCCCTACTTGTGCGTTTATATACCCTGCAAATACTATACTATCTGAACTAGTAGCATCGCGTAAGAGAGCGTTCAGTTCGTGATAGAATGTGTCCTTGACAGCATTAGAACTGCAGTCGGTGGGAGCACAAGCGGAAATCACAAACAAACAGCGTTTTGTTTTACTTCGTGAGTCAAGTTTAGTTGATGTCGTCAAACGGGCTGCACATAAACGGCTGTTCACCGGAATCTAATCAACCAATGATGGCTCAGTCTTGGAGCTTAGAATGATACCTACACCAGCTTGATCCGTGAGTGCTAAATCGGTGTCTCCGGATGCGTGCAACCAATAAGGAGAGGCAAAGCCGGGTGCAGTTAATGCAATAACCCCATTAGGGTCATTGATCTTAGTTTCGGACACACACACACATCAATACCCAGTGTGTCCAAGGTGCGTGCGAGTGCAGCCTGTTGACTTATTTGTCTTAGAGTGCGATGTTGAACGTCGCCATGGAAACGGGATAGCGTGGCCTTATAAGGGACTGTTGCCGATAGGTGTCTGGTACGTGTCGCGAGAAGGTGGATGCAGATGGTTCTACTCCAGTCGCGCTTCGGTTGCTGTCAATCAAGCTGGGAATTATATGTGAGTAATGCGGTAGGGATGGGATTAAGAGAAACAGATGGAAAAGAAAGGAAGCGCCAGCAGTAGCATGTCTTCGCTTATCCGCCCTGCTGCATGCAGCAGATAAGGTGACCCTTGATAATCTGCGCGACGGCCGAGGTAGGATGAAGTTTATGTCTGAAGAAAAAGTTATGGGCTGGGATACTGCCAGGGCGCCAGGACCAAGACAAGAGGACGATTAGAGTCCTCATCCAAAGCCTTTGGCTCAAAAGCCTGTCCATAAGGCAGTGCGGAGGTGGCAATGATTTAGTTTTACAAAAATGGACGCCATTCCATTACAAACCCACAACCTGGAGGACCAGAAGACTGAGTTTGTCAGACCTCTCACCATTGACAAACCTGGTAGTAGGAGGAGAGACCCTTGTCAGCTCCGTCGATTCCGATTCAGTGCAGGTTTGACGCAACTGGGTGCGAAGTGGTATTCCTCTGGGGATCGTCGCCGTTGCAGTAGGAGCACCAGAACCCTGCGGTACTCATCAGAATGCAGTCCAGCAGCCGTTTGAAACGTTCCTCTGTCGGTGCATTAGAAATGATCTCCCGTAGGCTGTTTTAATCATTCACTACACGAATTGATAGGGCAACCTCTGGAGGAAGTGAAGTATTCGACTCTGGTACAACTTCCACTTGTGGCCTCGTGTCGAGCCGTCCACGTTGAGTCGAAAGTGCTTTTGTACCTCACTTTCAAGTTCTCCTCTTAGGATCCGTCTGGTGTAGTTAAGATCACCAGGGCGCCGACGATAGTCCATTGGGACCATGTTCAGGTTTCTGAGCCGAAGAGGGTAAGCAAGACCACGAAGCTCTATGACGGATTTCGAGCCACGTCTTTGGACTTTTTGTAGCAAGTCGCATTCAGATTTTAAGAGAGGATAGGTAGCTGGAAGCCCATACTCCAATATTGGGCGGATATGTGATGTGAACAGTTCTGAAAATTGCCGGAGTGATACGGGAGAACGACCTCCGTAGAACACCCAGCATCCTATTTGTGGCCGCCACCTTTCTCAATGTGTCTTGGGAAGTTTTAAGGTCATATGACACGATAAACCCCAGATCCTTTTCGTGCAGAACATTCTTGGTATGCACCGAATGAATCCGGGTTACCAATCGGAGAACAGCACATTTGTCGTAGTTAACGGGTAGTTGCCACTCGGCGGACCAATCGTGCAGCTGGTCCAGCGCTGTTTAGAGTCTGTCCGTGTCCTCAAGACTAGCTACTTCTGACCATAGCTTGAGATCATCAGCGTAAACTAAGCAGCTCGCTTGAAGAGCTGCAGGGAGATCATTAATGTAGAGCTTGAAAAGTTCCGGCCCGAGGACAAAGCCCTGTGGAACTCCGCTAGTCATAGACACAGAGCCAGACAGCGTTTGGTTCACCTTCACTTGAAGAGTCCGATCTCTCAATAAGTCCGCAACCCATGCAAGGACGTTCCGGGTGGCGCTAATTCCCAGAAGTCTGAGCAGAAGTCGTTTGTGTAGGACTTTGTCAAAGGCCTTGCTGAAGTCAATGCAGATAACATCCAAGTGTCTCCGGTCGTCTACCGCTTTGACCTATGCTTCTCTAGCAACAAGCAGGTTAAAAATACAGGAGCGAGCCCTGCGGGATCCATGCTGAGCGGGAGAAATGGTGCACAGGCTTTCGCAGTGGGTTTGTAGGGCGCGCTTGACTATCCGTTCAATGAGCTTGCAAATCACAGACGTCAGACATATCGGTCGATAGTTTGCAGGATCGTGCCGGTTCCCACCTTTGTACTTAGGCATTACAATCCCTACTTTCCAGTCAGGTGGTAGGCGTCCGTCTGCAAGAGAACGCCGGAAAACTTGATGTATTGGATCAGCAATGTATTCTGCTACCATCTTGAGGAATAACGGGTGAAGTCCATCAGGGCCCGGTGCGGAGTTAGGGTTCAGTTCAAGTAGGAGTCTCTTGACTATCTCGGGATTGATTTCGACTTGCTCGAGAGGAGGGTAATGCGTTGCCAGATCGTCAGTGGGTAGTGACGGTTCCACGGAGTAGATCGAGG